ACGGTCCTGGCGCTTGCTGGACACTCTGGGACGTCCTGAAGATGACTTCACTGCAGTCGGTCCTCTCTCCTTGAAGTTCTTGATGATCCGGTAAATGGTTCTTTCAGGTGCAATATTCTTTGTAGTAATTTCCTTGCATGTGAGGCCATTTTGATGCAAATTGATGATGGCTGCACGTGTTTCTTTGGAGGTAACCATTGCTAACAAGAACACAATGATTGGAAGACCTTCTTCCCCCCATCAGTCTGCTCTTACAGTCTAATTAGTATGATAGTGATTTCACCTGACTAGTACTCATTCACACTTTTACATGTGCTGCTGATATGATTAGTCAATTAATGTTAGCTGGTCATTTTGTGTCAGGATCAAAAAAGAGCGAAATTTGTTTTGGCCAATGAAGCTTTTAGCAATTATTTAAAATGCATCTGATCACTCTACACAATAATCTAGAAACAATGTGAATGAACACCACAACAGCTTAAGCAGCAAACTTCACAAAACACAAGTTTTATGTCACGGCCAAAACTTTTGGCCATGACTGTATTTTTTTTTTAGTATTTGTCACACTCACACACCACATGGACTTTTGTTTTCGTTTGCACCTTTCCCCAGTTCTAGTTGTCTGGTCTCGTCAACGTTACCCTGTCTGTTGGATTAAAGACTTTCTAATCCTTCATCTTCATGCATTTATTTACAGCGTAGATCAAAAGTTCAAAAGTTCAAAAGAACAGCATTTAGTTGAAATTGAAATCTTTTGTAACATTATAAATGTCTTTACTGTCGCGTTTGATCAATTTATTGTGTCCTTGCTGAATAAAAGTAAAAAGATACAATATATAATATATAAAAATAAACTTTAAAAAAAATGTTACTTACCCCAAACCTTTGAATGGTAGTGTATCATATTTCCATACAATATTATGAATTAATAAATTATTCCAAACGGTAGTGTGTGTTTGTGTGTATTTCTAATGTAACAATTACTAAGAATCAAGACAAGATATACATTTCACTCTTGTTCAGTAACTGTAAGAAATAGTCTAGGTTTTTCACTGTTTCATTCACATCAGGACACGCCACCAAACACTATTCTCATCCTCATTCACGGCAGCAAGGGAAAAGGAAGTAATTCTGTTATATGTGCCCACGTCCCCTGAGGGCTGAAACCAGTATGTAGAACAAGCTAATGTCGATGAGATAGGTCATGAATGATATAACAACTTATTCATGTACTGAAATGGACTGGTATTCTGGATATCCTGCCATTTCAGCTCCAGATTTGAAAAAGAATGGCGGGTACTCTAATAAAATGACAATGAAATGTGTTTTAATTTCTGTGTAGAGATAGTTATGCTCATTTACCCAGGTGAAGATAGAGAAGAAGGAGAAGGTAATGGCAGCTCTGGCAGCATCCGCGCCCTGATTTAAGGGCAGCTCATCTGGGGTGGTGCGCTGCCATTGGTTGGCCAAGAAGCAGAAACAAACAAACCACAAAAATGCCCAGAAACCTGTAGTCATGCACAAAATACAACAATAAGAATATATTAGAGTAATAATGTCAATATAGTTTACTATACTGCCCCCATGTTTACATATATATACAAAACATCTAAAGGCAATACAGTACTTCTGTAGAGATCATGAATCATTGCCAGACCCCATGAACAATTCACAGCTTAAAAATAGCCGTCACAGAGAGAGTCTCAGTCTGTTTTGGCATGCTCGTATTGTTTACCTGAAAATCCAATGTCCAGCATCACTGCCTTCTTCCTGTCTTTAATACTGCTGATTTGTTGGAACTTCATGTCAAGGATAATGAAGAAAATGCATGCTAGAAATGCTATGAGCCCAATGGTGGTTCCGTAGTTGCAGGCATTGTTGTTCTTGTTGAAAACGCAATAGAGCCTCTCACTGCCATGGTTGATGTAGCCTTCATTTATTATGGATCCAAACACTACCATTGAGAAGATCTGCAGGGGAAATGATACACCTGTTTTAATGTATTTTTTCTTCTTCATGGTAGCACTGTTAAAGCCATTATAAATGACATTAAATACTAAAATACCATTACAATAAATACTATTATTCTACGTTCAGGTTGTTGACATGAAGTGACAGAAACATCCCATACTGTGACAAAAAGCAAACTTAATTTAAAAGGCGAAAAACTTAAAATGGTCACCACAACTTTTCATGACATTTTAAACTAACAATTTCAAACTTCGAAGCATTAAATAATGTAGTAATGTTAGTTAATGATCGTACTTACATTGCTCTTAATTACCCAGAAAATATATATATTTTTCAGGTGTCCATTGTTAGAAATTAAATATTTCAATGACAAAATGAAAGAGAAATATAAACTTACACAGACATAAGATTTGCTGCATGACCAAAACAATGCTGTTCAATAAACATAATGTACTCTAAATAGACAATAACTCTTCTAAATTAACATTTTCCACTTGTAGGGCCAACTATTGTTCTTCTGCATACAGAAAAAAAAGGTGCAAACTGTCATTGAGGCGGTACCTTTTCAAAAGATACTAATCTGTACTTTTATAGCAGGCTGATAGGCTATACTTTTACACTAATATATAACTTTAATATTTTTGTTTTTTTATTTTTGATTTTGATAAGATTTTGAAGCCTATCTTTACAAGAAAGAAAATCCTTTGACTGAAAGAGAAAGCTATAATGGTCCACGTGATGTGTTTGTCTGACGCAAATAAAATCAAATGGAAGTAACAGTACATGCGCTTATAGTAATGCATCAACCAATCACAATCGAGGCGCCGGTCATATAGAAGCAGACTGTGGCTGCGGCTCAAAACCTAGTGGGCTGCCTAGGTAGACAGCATTTCTAAGCAACACACAGAACACATGCGATGCTCAAAATGAGACAGCTCGCTATGCTTTGGGTCACACTATAATGATGTTCTTACTGAAAAACCTTATTGCATAATAGAGAAACGTTCATCCATGGCATCAGATTGACTCGTTTTATTGCTTTAATATAGGTAAATAGCCTATATTTAAAATATTATTTATTGTTTTGAAGTCACGCCTAGTGATAGACCGATGCATAAAAATAATACATAATAATATAATGGTATATTACAAACGAGTTCATCCCACCATAATAAACCAAACAACAAAAAGATTCAAGAATGAGCGCGTGTATTTATATACATGCTTGATGCTTTTATGTTATTATTCTAGAAGGAATCACAGTAACCTCGTCACCAGAGGCAAATACGCTTCATGACATCAATACGTCAATATTTTCAATATAAACCAAAAGTAATCTTTGATTTCACGAATAAACGGATATCTATACGTGAGTCATATTTCCCAGTGACCGTATTTAATTATTAAATAAGCGCGATGAAAATGTTTAGATTATGATACGTTCTGGATTATTCTCACAGGACCACACTCGTCTCTTCTAAACTGATATGATAATTTGTAGGTAAATAAATGTCTTACCCATGATAATATTCTAAGGATGGTCTGCGGCTGCTGGATAAAGGCAATAGGGTCGAACGCAGCACCGGCTCTCCCAGCACCAAATGAACCCACTCCGTCCATTTTCCTCCTACTGTTATTCAGGCTCTGGGCTGTGGGTCGAGGCAGACACACACACACACACACACACACACCGGGCGTGCGCAATCTCTCTGTGATTCAGTGTATTACATTGTCTCAACAACACCATCTACCGACTACCTCACGTCCTCAACTCAGCTGGCAGACCGCTAACTTCACAGAGCAGGGCTTCAACTTCAAAAACAACTGGAACATTTTAGGGTGGCATGCAGAATATTTAGTCAAGGAAAGGGTAATATTTGAAGATAACAGTTCCATAACCAAAACAATATCACATAAAAATGATAGTTAACCCAAAATCTATACGACTTTCTTTCTTCAGTGGAACACAAAATATTATATTTTTAAATTGCATATAATGAAAGTCAATAGGGACACAAAAGAAAATGTTGAAGAATATTAGTGTCCAAACAAAATCCAATGTCATTCAGGTTTGAAACGACATTGTTTTGACTATCACAGCATACTTCATATGAATGAGTGCAATTCTAAAACAGTGATGCACTCTGGCATTATCATTCTACACTGCGATATTATAGTCTTACAGCAAATAATAATGCATAAATAAAAATGACTTTTTCATGATAAGGAAAGCAATGTGGGAAGACATAATACTATAGCCTATCCTTGCCACATTTGCAAACAGCAAATAAGCATGCAAATGAATTGAGTTTTGGTTGTTTTAAGAAGCCTATCTTGATGCAATTGAACATGATCAACAATTCATTGTTTTACCCATTCTTGAATATGAATAATTTATTGAGACGTCTAAACCATTGGTCTTCAACTGGGAAACCACAGCACACTTCCAAGGGGACCGCAAGATGGCTTAAAATTATTTAAAATAACACAAATAACATTACGTTTTCACTAGAAAAAAAAGCAATATTATGGATAGAGAACTATTTTATCTGGTTTTAAATGAAAAACATCTTAATGATGAATTTGTTTATTACAAACACGTCTTTTTGCTTTACAAGACATTATTTGAAAGTCTGGAGTGGTGTGGATTACTTGTTGATTATTGTGATGTTTTTATCAGTTGTTTGAACTCTCATTCTGACGGCACCCATTCACTGCAGAAGATCCATTGGTGACCAAGTGATATAATGCTAAATTTCTCCAAATCTGTTCTAAATAAACAAACTCATCTACTGTACATCCTTGATGGCCTGAGGGTGAGTACATTTTCAGCAAATTTTCATTTTTGGGTGAACTATTCATTTAATTGCCATTCCATGTTTCTGTAAATAAATTTTTTTTTGAAAACAAGCAGCTTTGTCTTTATAGCAGAACTATCAGAAATATCTTGGGGAATATTCAGTTATTGTCTTACAATGAGGGGCTTTGGAGTTCAAAAAGCTGAGAATCACTGCTCTAAACAAAGCATTTTTGTTTCCGGCTGTTGCACAGATTTTTACAAAGTTCATCCTGTTGCCTCTGGGCTAATCATATGCACGGAGAGCTCAATAATACAAAACAATATGGGCCATAACACCATACTCTTGTAGACAGCAAAACTCTTGATTAAAAGCACAATACAGACAACTGTATATGAATAAATCACTCTATCAATTAGTGCAAAGTCAACATCTATCATGTTTATGCATGACTCCTGAGTGGCACTTGTAACAAAAAGGACAGGTCCACAGAATCAGTGTGCGGCTGCATTTTGCTCATGTTCATGATTGTGTTGGAGGTTTTCAGTCACAAGATCCATCTTTCCAGCCATCTCGCCATCGCTCATCCACCTTGCTGCAGTCATACTCTGGCTTGCCTAATCGGATGTTGATGTCATTATGGAGGTGACACAGCCACTGTGAGAGGTTGTGCCGACTGCTAGCGTCTGGTTGATTCGTTTTCAGTCTGATAAGACACAAGATCATTGAAACATATGCTACCAAACACAAATTGTAAACACTGCAATGCTTCTGCTGAAATGCTAAAAGACAAACATAAAAACCACAACAATAAATGATGACAACCTTGATCTCAGGTCCTCTGCACACTCATCACAAGGGAAAACCTTTGAGAAGAGGTTGATGAACTGTGTTATCTCCCCCTGTTGTTCTGTGGTCGGTGTGTCTGGATAATATGCAGCCATAGTGTGAAGAAAAGACCATGAGCTCCTTCCCAGTTCCTCTCTGTCTAGAGGGCATTCAACAGGCCTAGCCTCCTCCATCGGCATGCTCTCCTGTTCAAAATATCACATGACTGTTTACTGTCATAGCACAACATTATTGTAGCCATATATATTTATATTTATACATAAGGTATACATGTGTTTCCTAGGAATCAAACATATGACTCTGGGTTGATGCAATTCTCTGGCAGCCGAGCTATAGTTCTTGAAAAGTAACCAGAACTATGATTGGCGTCTCTGTTGTTAAACACAATATTCTGCTTATTTATTTTCAAAATATTTTTCTTAACAGAAACTAAGAGTACTGACTGATTAGTGTACATCCTTAAAACAATAAAGAAACATGGTTAAAGCTTACATCCTGATTTTGAGTTTGTTTAGCATTTTAATTTATATTAGAGCTTAGTTTTTTAATTATTATTATATAATTTTTATTATATCATATATATAATTTTTATTTTATTATAATTGTATTATTTATTATATTATTATATTTAAATTTTACTATTATTATTATTATTATTAAAGTAAATACTTTAAAGTCATCCTGAGGCCACCTTGAAAGTTTGCTGATTTTTCCCCCCACCATAAATATTGCAAATTCATACCAAATCTATTTGGGGGTATATATACACACACACACACACACACACACATACACATACACACATTACTACCATTTAGTGTTACAGTAAAACTACAGAACAAGGCAACGGTGTGTTTATTTCATTAATTGTTTATTTTAATCTAACGTTAATTGTGTTTTCACAGATATTTGACTTCTTAGATTTAAAATGACAGTTTGTCTGTCAGATCGTCTGTTCACCTGCACTGAGACTAAGGACGTCTGTTTCTGCAACTTCATCCATGATTTAAAATCCGTACACGCTCGGCACGGTTTCTTTTTCGGCTCTCCGGCAGCGCTCTGATCCTTACTCGTGCTTTCCTCGGGTGGTCTGCCAGCCACAGTGAACGGGAAACCCTCCATACCCGCGTTGTTATGCGTTGATGATCGCGACCCTGCAGCAGTTGCCATGTTTAAAATTGCACGATGTGTTATGTACCGGGTTGCCAGGTTTTCACAAGAAAACCCGCCCAATCGCTACTCAAAACTAGCCCAAGACTAGCCCAATCGCGTTTCGAGGGGATCCCCAGTTAAAAATCGCGTTCCTGGGGGTAAAATATACGTTCTTTGGCGTGGTTCCCCTGCTAAAATTCTCATTCCAGGGGATAAATATCATGTTATTGGAGTCGCTTCAACCTCGCGGACATGAAAAACCACCTGCGGCAACAGTGTTAAAGTAGCCCAATTCCGCAGGAAAACCACGGACATGGCAACACTGGTTATGTACTACCAGGGTTGCCAGATCTCCGTAAAATCAATCCCTATCAAATCAAGCTTAAAAACTAGCCCAAATATCAAAACCATAAACTGCATAAAAACAGATCAAAACTTAAAACATGCGATTCCCATACGTAAAATACATATTTTACTCTGTGCACTGAACACATTTTACAGCTGTCAATTTTACACAGTCTGTTTTCATACATGAAATCATCTTACCTTAATATTAACAGCTGGTGAATAAAATTATTAGGAGGGGTGGTAATATTTCTTAACTACTTGAAAATAACTATTTTCAGTTTTAAGATCTTGTTCTGATGCCACTCTTCTCCTTGGTCTTTGTCATACATTTCTGCACACAATCTCCTTACCAGTCTAGCACAGTTTTATTATGGGTAATATAAATTGTACAGAGTGCAATATTTCAATACAAGCAAGTTAAAGATTAGCCATATTTTGCTGTAAAACCCAGTAGCCCCTCACTGCCGAACACAAGATCCAGGGGGCGTGGTTGGATCCACATCTAGGGGGTGGAGATTGGTAAGTTAAGGGGTGGAGAATGAGATGGGTGGGTTTAGGGATCAGGGGGTGGAGACGGGTAGGTTTAGGTATATGTAAGGTGGGAGGAGTTGAATCTGGATTCTGCAGTGAGGACCATCTTGTAAAACCGCGGACCTGGCAACCCTATGTATTTTCGAGGTGAACGAATCGTTATTTTGAGCCGGATCTTCTGATTGAGCATGATAAGTTAAGCGGTTCACACAACTGATCTGAATTATTCATAAACAGCGACAGGTGCCTTCACGTGGCTTTATTAGAACGAAAATGACGACGTAATTGTGTCCTCAGGTAAAAGAATCATTAAACCGATTCTTTGAAACAAATGTTCGATTGAATCGATTCGTAGAAATGAGTCAGAATTAAAATCCAACCACTGTAATGTATCATAGGAGCGTTTGTTGTTGATCATGTGTTGGATTTATGTCAATTATCCACAGTATGTCAACAACGGGTAAACATACTATAACTGGCATTTCACAAAAAAAAAAATTCAGTAACAGTAACTATATTAAATTCTATGTTCAGGAATTAAATATTAAATAATTTGTTTCACATCGGAGCAGTTTCTCCGCAGCACTGTCAGCCAGCGGGCGATGACGTCACCAGCAGTCCATGCCGCAGAGTTCGGGCTGCCTTAAACTGTAATGATCAAAACATTCACTTCTATAAATACACGAATGACAGTATCTTATACTTTCTAAAGAGTGACATTTATAAGTAGCCATTTGCCATGATATTTGCATGACAGCTCAATCTGCAATAGTGTTTGATAAGTTTGATAGAAGTGCCTGCTAGCTTAGCTTACTACTGACAACCAGAGAGCAGATGGTCTGTACAATATGACTGACATGCTTTATTCTTACACTGCTGTAATGTTCACAGGCTTCACATAAGAAATATATCACACTTGTCTGACAATGGGGATTCTGGAGAAGATAGCAGAGATAGAGAGAGAAATCTCTCGAACGCAGAAGAATAAAGGTAAGAAAAGATCCTTCGTTAAATATCCCGTCATGGGCCTTTTGTTGCTTTGTATCCGTTTACTCCTCATCAGTTAAATCCCGAGTACTTCCAAACTTGTTTTGCAGCAACTGAGTACCATCTGGGTTTATTGAAAGCCAAGCTAGCCAAGTACAGAGCCCAGCTTCTGGAGCCCTCGAAGTCATCTGGAGCCAAAGGTGAAGGCTTTGATGTTATGAAATCTGGTGATGCTCGAGTGGCTCTGGTTGGATTCCCCTCAGTTGGCAAGGTAAAAATGACAACATCTGTGCAATATTTTTGATGGCCAAGAGGTGGTCTAATCGAAAATCTAAATTGAAAAAAAGATTTTTGCTACAAAAATAGTTTCCCGGTAATGAAGTAAAATAAATATCTTTCAAACTAATACGTTTTACCCTGTCAAACATTTCATGAAGAAATATAAATCTGTCTTTCATGTATTTTGGGCCTGTCACTATACTGAACAGTTTTGGAAAAGTATTGTCACATTAATTATTATATCCAGCAAGATAGAACTATATTTTTAAAGACATTATTTTAGGACACTATGCACCTGATTTTACTGAAGACAACGCTAGCTTTGTTATAAATGTATCTTCTCTGCAAATTTTATATCCACAAATATAAGTTCACCAGCTACAAACCAAATGTTCTTTTCTTTTCTTTTTTTTTTTAAAGTATTTCTAACACCATTTCATCTTCAGTAAAAAAGAAAGCAAGTAGAATGACTTCAATGCCTTTAATTTGTATACTTCAATTTATGTATAAATTCATTTCTAGCCTTCATGTTTTTTTCTTTCTCCTCCTATTTGTCTTTTTCTGTCTTTAGCAAATTATTAACTCTTATTTTTCTCTGTATTCTGTTGACAATGGGTGTATTGTTGTTAAATTTGGTGTAATATACACAAACATTTTCTATTATTAATGTCAATTATGTGTTTTTTTTTGCACAAAAAAAGAGGCATGCTCTAATTTATGGTGTTTTTGTAGTCTACATTTCTTAGTTTAATGACATCAACAGAAAGTGAAGCAGCTTCATATGAATTCACCACCTTGACCTGCATTCCTGGTGTCATTGAGGTATTATTTATTCCAAAATATTTTTCTTTTCTCTCTGTTTTTGTTTATATCTTATTTCTATTTATGTTATTGCTGTTGTTAGTATAATAATTATAATAACCAACATGATATTGGTTTCTTTTCATTTAAAAAAAATTTCAATTCTAGTACAAAGGTGCCAACATACAGCTGCTGGATTTGCCTGGTATCATTGAGGGGGCTGCACAAGGTATGTTCACTTGTGTTTCGAAGAGTTATGTATATTTGTACGTGTATTTTGGCATATTAAATGTGTCCTTTCTCTGTGTTTTTGATTTAAAGGTAAGGGCAGAGGTAGACAGGTCATTGCTGTGGCCAGAACTGCAGATGTGGTCATCATGATGTTGGATGCAACTAAAGGAGATGTTCAGAGGTGAGTTGGAACACTGGAGAATGTTTGCACTGTTTGCACTATTGCTTTGTTTGACGATTGTTGTTTTGTTTTTAGGGAACTTCTGGAAAAAGAACTTGAATCTGTTGGCATCAGACTCAACTGCCCCAAACCAAATATCTATTTTAAGGTCAGTGTTTTAGGTCGGCACAATTAATCAAAATTAAATTGCAAAGGCGATAAATCACGATTAGGCAGAAGCTGCGATTGTCATGCGTATCTTTCAGTGAAGCACGGTTCTGTGATCAGCAGTAAATCTCCATCCGAAGGCCAGAGGGCGCTCTCGCGTGGAAACTCAAAATACACCCCGCAGAAGAAACCCAGGAAATCCTGAATAAACAGAAGATTTAACCAAAGCCACTAGAAGGCAAGCCTGCAACCTTTAGCCAAAAAAGCGTAACGGCTAATGCTAACGCTTCCGGTTTGCCAGTACGTGGGAAAGGAGACCAGAGGCTGTTTTTTTTGTATGGATGTCAGTAGAGGAGAGGCTTCACTACGCTGAATAAACAGCTTTTTATAGGAAACAGCTTATCATTTAATGAATCGACAGCCTATCTGGTAATCTTCAACATGTTTTACACTAAACAATACTTTTGGATTGAACTATTTTTAGAGTTTACACTGGAAAAAATGGCGTTTTATAAGAGAAGTCACTGACTTTTAGCGACACGTGGGATACGGCTTACAGCATTTCTCATTCATTCCTATGGTATCTGTAAACGGCGATTGAGTGTCGCACAACTCTGAGTGAAATTCATTGACGTCAAGGCTGTAATGTGATTGGTTATTAAGGTACACATGATCCAAGTTGACCATTACGCCTTCTCCAATAGCAAGTAATACAGACCCTCGTATCTCCCTATATTAAGACAATCTCTGATTTAACAGCTTTCATTGATTCAACGTGACTAATAAACACACGACTACAACAATATATGGTTTATCTGAGTTCCGTCTTATTATAATTTTTATTATGATAAAGTATATAATAATGCAATGCTAATCGACATAGCCTTTATCACTGCTTAAATACTATGAAATATGTTGCGTGCCTTATTCTGTGTAAGAAGCCACATCATCTCACCGAAGGATTTATTTCAAACACTCGACTGACGTTATGAAGTGAGTTTGGAGTAAAAACATGTTATTAAATGTGGTATTTTTTTATGGTAGCTTTCATGATCGCGGAACGATTTTTTCGATTTCATTATCGCGCGATTAAATCATATGCGATTATGAACGCGATTTTGCATAGCTTGTCGGTGAACTACAGCTCTGTGTAGTAAATGCTGCTCCATCTGAAAGCATGTGCTGGAGATTTACTGCTAATCACAGAACCAGCTTTACTGATGAGATGCGCATGACAATCGCATTTGATTAATCGTGCAGCCCTAGTTTTAGGTTTTTTGCTGTTATAAGCTATGCTTTCATCACCCTGTTTTTATGAATATTTTGAAGTATCGCATCAGAAACGAGTGATGGAAATGACAAATAAAAATCATTTAATTAGCAAAAACGTTTTTATGTTCGCTTGAGGTGGTTTTTGACTTGTGCGAAAAAGGTTTAATGCGAATAATTTGAGATGGAAACGGATTTTGCGAATAAATTCCTCCATGCGTATCAAAAAAGTCATGTGACTTTGCGCTATAGGACGGCAATACTTGACTAAATAGTGGACCAGTCTCATTGCACAGCATC